TTATTCCTCATCCACTAATGCAAAGGCAGCACCTTCTACAGCCACGGGCACTTGTCACCCCATGTATGTGATTCTCGTTTTTTGTTTCTCTTGGATGGGTTGTTCCGAAATGCCTAATTTTCCTTTGAGATCAATACAGTATTTTTGAATTGAATTGAATTGAACTGAACTGAATTGAAAACTGTTGTTTAGGCAGCAATGAGAAGCAATCAGAACACATTTGCCATTTTTGAGCTGCTGGAAGAAGAATCAGGCTGGCTCCAGGCCAGTCACAAATGGAAGCCATGTCTCCAATAGAACTCCAAAATGTTCGGGTCATTCAGTGTATATGTTGTATGACTTATGGGTTTTATACCTTTTATACTTTTCAGAATGTAACTTTATTTACAAATATTTTTATCTATCGAAACACATTGAGTTTTCTTCAAACCCTTTATTTAACCTAGCCTTTTATTACTTTTAGCTTTTAGCTATACTGTTTCTTCTTTCAGCAAGCATTTTTTTAGCCAGTGTTTTGCTACAGTCAGGCGATTTTTTTTGCCATTTTTTATTTAGGCTTGCAACGTTGATCTTTTAGCTAGTGTTCTGCTTCTTTTAGCTGCAACCAGTTTTTGGTTCTTCAGTAAATTTCAGCATCATCATATAGCACTCAGGATGCATAATGCATTTTTGCAAAAGACAAAAAAGCAAATTTCTAATCTTTTTGGGTTATTTTTCTTCTCTTCTCTCATAAGTTTCACCAGACGTTTCATGGCCCAGTAGTGGAGAGGAGGACGATGAAGATGAAGATGAAAAGTCAGTTTTTCTAAATCTGACATGTAACCTAAAACAAGAGCTCAGATTTTTTTCAAGTGGGGGTTCTGTGGAAAAGTTTTGAACAATTGATATCTTACCTGTTGCAGATAACTCTTTAAATAACCTCAATGCAGAGAAATAAAGTTTAAAGGCTCGTCCGAGAAGAAGGACCAGAATTCTAAAAATTAAATCTGAACAATTTACAGCGGTTTATTCTAACACTAGTTTAGAAAACATTTACATCTCTGCCACTTTCACATTACACAGTTATTTACACTGAATTGTATAGTTATTTGCAAATGCAAATGATAGAAACAAGAGTATGTTTCACTAGCTAGCTGTAGCACTTCCTGTGCAGCCTACGGCAATTCCTGCAGGAATATCACATTTCCACTGGAAAATCATTTGCGATGCAAAACTGATGATTGTGTTAAAGGTGAATGCAGTGAATATAGGTTTCTCTCCTGCTGGTAAAATGAAAATAAATCATTTGAAAAAAATTTTCACCTCTAATCTGACCTATAGTTTTGCTCCAAATCTCTAAAGATTAAAAAACCGTATGTCCTGCTTTTCTATCGATGTAGGTTTAGACTGTGAACAGGTTGTTCCGAAATTTCATTTTAAATTAAAATTCAAGTTTATCTTTATCTTCGGCTTTTTAGCAGACATCTGATGGTTTTGGACCAAAATAAGCAGGTGTTTGGAACTTTTCATCCCTCCATTCACCTGAACTAAAACCCCTGTTCCAGCAGATAAAAGCAACCCTACAGCATGATGTTGCCACCGCCGTGTTTCACTCTGATTATGATGTTCTTCTGGTCTTTTTTCTGTCTGTAGTAAAACAGCGTTTGTATCAACTTGAGCTTTTTAAGTTCTTTTAAGGTCTTAGCCATGCTTAAACTAGCCATTAGCTCATCAACCAAATCAGAACTGAACCATTTCTCAGAACTGAGGTCATTCAAAGAACGACCTCGAACAGGTAAAATAATGATTTTTCACAAACTTTCCACAAAAATCCTACTTCAGAAGGCTTCAACTATCCCTTTATTTACCAGCATGATTTTGACATCTCTGTGCTCACTAAGAAAAATACTATTTTCCAGAGTTAGCCCTGGAAACGTTCCAGAGTCAACCCTGAGGAAGGACTTCTTGCGCATCCAGAATGCCAAAGACAAGCATTCAAATGAACCGAGGCACCAACAGCTGGTTCAGCAGCAGAACCAGGATGCCAACCGCCTGTTTGCTCAGAGACATCAATTACTGGAGGAGCAGAGAGAGCAAAAGAAACAGCTATTCAAGGTGAGGGGTGTAATGCCTGAAACAAACTCTGGGCTCCAGCATGGTATTTCAAAAGCCCAAATCTGATTTCAAGATAAGGTACAAGGCCCAGATGAACCTAGCCAAGCTGCAGTGAAAAGCTAAAACTAGTAAAGCTGGCAAAACAGGAGCTACCACTAGCCAAACTATAGCTAGGGGCTAAAATCAGCAGCATAGCTAAAAACTAAAACTTCTAAAATCATACAAACTGTAGCTAAAAGCTAAAACCAGCAAAACAGTGTCTAAATCTTTTTTTATCAAAAACATTTTTTTTAATTTAA